ATTTAGAAGAAAATTTTGATGGGCAGATCAATATATGTTCACACACAGTCTATGACTGCAAAGACAAGTTGAAGACTGGGTGGCAATGCAGTTGCTTTTATTAGGGGGAAGGAATTCAGGACTTAGTTACCTGATGTGGAGTAAATCCACTCTCAAGTTATTTACAAAAATTATTCAGATTTCATTGAAAAAAAAAGATTTCTCACTCATTACAATTTTACTTTCGTAAGTTAAAGTATAACAGAGAATGATAGTTTAATAAATGGATCTAAATTTTCCATTACTGAATTCTTAAAGTGCATATATCCATAAAATTCTGAAACTTCAGTTTTCCTTTTTATCTCACTCTTTCATTCTATATTGAACTCTAAATCTCAAACCAATTTTATTCCCTTGGGATTTAATGATGCAGTCATGAATGAAAACTATCGGCCAGGGGTGCTTTCTTATCTTACAGGTGATAATAAGATTTTGGCAAATGCAGTTTTATGAAGTGGAACCTTTGTGTATTTTACAGAGAACAAAACAACTTAAGTCAGTTCTAAAACACTACCATCATTTTTTACTATCCTGAAATCCACAGTTCCTTCTAGGCAATAGCATAATGTTTAGTCTGCTTCACACTAACCACACAAAACCTTAATTATATATCTTCTTCCCTTTTAAACAAAATGATAAGATTTTTTTTGTGTGGATTTCTGATTAAACCAAACTACATGAATATACAGATTTTTATCTATGATTAAGAAAATTTCAAAATTAAATTTTCCCTTCAAGTACTTCCAAATTAAATTATAAATCCGTTAAAAAAAGAAAGAAAGAAAACGAACCTTGTGGAAATAATGTGTTTCAAGAGTCTTTTCCTGCTATTGTATCTAATTACTGGAACATTGAATTTCCTTGACAAAAGTACTCAAAATAACTGTGCTCACAGCAGGACTAGAGAATGGTTGGATCATTCCCCATGATTTCTGCTACCAAAAGGGGCAACTGAGAAATGTTTAGAAAGGAAATCTGAGTTAATAAAAGAATTAAGAAATAGCTTACAAAAATGTTTTAATGACCATCTAGTTATGTTTTGAGTGAACAAGAAAGGTACTATTTTCCCATCTTTAATCCTCCTGTCCGTGGCTGGGGGGAGGGGAATCTCCCTAGTAGGTTCACTTTTGTTATTGTTTCTCAACGTTGCTACAAAAATAAAATCACTGCTTTTTCTGTCCTGTCCCTCATCTTTGCCTTTCTTGAGAGAAGTAAGCAAGGCTCTAGAAAATAGCTAAGATGGAAACTAGGATGGGAAAGAAGTATCTGGAAATCAAGTAAAAGGAGCAGTATCAGGCCATGTGAGTAAAAAGAGTAGTTTGTGGTCAGATCATTGACATCCAAGACCAAGAACAAGATAGAGGAGTTTTTGAGGAGAAGAGTGATTTGGCTAAATCTGTGAAAGATAAATCCTCCAGATGAGCTCTAAGAGAGCACAGAGGCAGGAATCTGCTACGATGCTCCAGGATGGGTCTCTGGGTACCAATCAAGCTCCTGGCAGGAAACAGGTCACAGTTGGGCCGGGGAATTTCAGATTAACAAAGGGAATATTACAACAATGTGGACATGGCTTAAGGAAATTCACAAAGAATAGGACCACAATGGTAAAAGCCTTAACCACTGCTAGCCCTGCAAAGCAATTAAAGGAGCTGGGAGAGGTGGCTACATGTGGAGCGATGCCTGATTGGAGCTATGGCCTTTCAGTTAGTGATCAGCTGACCCACACCAGTCTGCAGAGGGCTAGGGACAAGCAGTGTAGCATGGTTGACCAGCCTAAGGTACTGGGTTAAGGCTCCAGTCTCTTTGGGGGCGTGGGTTCAAATCCCATTGCTGCCAGCTTGCCTGGGAAAGTCCATGGACAGAGGAGCCTGGCGGGCTATATAGCCCATGGGGTCTCAAAGATTCGGACAAGACTGAACATGCAAGGGACAAACACGCCTTCATCCTTCTCTCTTCACTTCTGATCTGTCACTGCCTCCTGCTGGTTATATGCGAAAGCCAGTGCAGAGAGCAAAGTGGAGAAAGTATCTGGAGAAACAATTCCAGTCCAGGGTAAGGTCATGGTCGTGAGGAGAGAAAGGAATAATACAGAGACAAATTGTAATAGACTGACTGGATTTATTTATTTTTTTATTTTTATTTTTTGGCTGTGGTGGGTCTTCATTGCTGTGCTTGGGCTTCTCCCACCGCAGAGAGTGAGGGCTGCTTTTCTCTGTGGTCCTCGAGTTTCTCATTAGAGTAGTTTCTCTTGTCGCAGAGATGGAAAGGTAGATGGATGGATGATGGAAGCAAATTTTCAGGAAGATGATGGGTTATGTAGTCTTAGACATACTGAATTTAGAGTATGGTGGAAGAGCCCAGCTGGTGATCAGAGATTAGAGTCTAGAGCTCTGAGAAGGACAGGGGAAAAGATGTGCCTCTAAGAATCATCTGCACAGCAGTAGCGGCTGAGACAATGAGAGTGGATGAAATGGCATTGAGAGTAGGTATATAGAGAAAAGAAGAGGGGTCTGATGACCGAACTTGGGATCTAGCTGCATTATGGGAGAAAGGAGCAAAGACAAAGGGGAAAACCAGTAAGAGGAAAAGACAATATGTACAGCCCTTTCCCATATTATTATAGCATATTCACATATACCTGCACATCCCTAGTAGGCTCTCTCTTTCTTAACACTGCACAGTCTTGCCCAACATAAACATGATCCAAATGTAAGCTGCCTCAATATGATTAATATTTCTTAAAGCTCCAAATCCTGGTCTTACTAGTTTTGCTTACCTTGACTAGAACAGCCAACATTAATCCCTTTTTAATTTAGAAATTAGGCTTATTCTTTCAAACAAGTGTGCATTGAACACCTGTTATGTATCCAGTGCCAGGCTCATCAAAGTGAAAGTAAAAATCAGTTTCCTGTCATCAAGGAAATTAAAATTGACTTGGATTATAAAGAAACATAAAACAATTCAAGTTCAATGAAGAGTTGACCTATGTGATTCGAACCAAATAGCATTTCATCCAGTGAGAATTCATACCATTCAATGTCTACACCTGCTTTTTTTCCCTAACTCAGAAGACTGACAAAAGAGCTCAATTCTACATAACTGTACTTCCTATTAAAGGCTTAATCATGCCATGTTGTAAATTTCTCTTAACCTTTCTTTCTTCTCCACTGTTCCATAAGGTCTCAGTAATCTTTGCATCTAGTTTCTCAAACATGGTAGTCATTCAAATGTTTGTTAAATGAATGAATGAATCTAAGCCAAGCCCAGAATAGTTATTTCAGTGTCCTCAACACTCTCCTATGGCAAACCCCAAGAGCTTTAGGGTCCAAGGAGGTTACCTAATATGACCTACGACCTGGCCTCAGCCCCATGGGATGATTGGTATTAAGGACCTGGTGTTGAGTGATAAGTCAAATACTTGGAAAATCCCCAGCAAATCCTAAAATGCTTTTAGAAAAGAGGAAGAAACAAAATTAAAGGCAAATTCCTGAGGCATAAATTGCAGTCATGAAATGTTTGCTGAGTGAATGAAGAGAGGAGAGCTGAGAAAAGTCAGTCAGCTCAAGAAAAGCCCAAACTTAGGGAGCAAGTGTGACAGGTGTGTGTCTAAAGCCCTCTTTAGCAGACACTCGAATCTATTTCCTAACGGCTATAATGTCCATTTCTATGGGTTAATTCTTCAGCTAACCCCTTCTTCACTACTCTCAGTGAAGTGAAAGTCATTCAGTCGTGTCCAACTCTTCGCAGTCTTAGAGCCAGAGTTTAGATCCCTCCTGCTCCCACACTTCCTGGCTGTATAACCTTAGACAAGTCATTTTACTTCTCTGAGCCTGCTTCTGTCATCAGTGGAATATAGTGAATAACAATAGCCAACACTTATAGAATGCTTACAATGTACCAGGAATTAATGCTTCATATTCATCAACTTATGAATAGGACTTAAGTTAAACAACCTGACCGATGTGGGTACAAGAAACCCAGATCTTATTTTAGGTAGCTTGATTCAAGAACCTGGTGTTTAATCACTGTATAAGGCTGCCTTTTCAGCAGAGTTCCCAGAGCCATGATGAGGATTAAATAATAATTGGTCTTTCGCTCACATTTATTGAGCACTCATATGCTGAAGGCCCCAGTGTAAGCTCCCTTGGGAGCATATTAACTCATTTATCTTCACAGCAGACCTGGGAGGTAATATTTGCAATCCCATATTACAGGTTTAAAAACAGGCGCAAACAAGTTACACAGCCGAATGTCAAACACCAGAGCGGTCAAGGTCGCAACCCAGGCGGTCTCACAGCAGAGCCCCGCGCTCTTCTGCCATCAGCCAGGAGAGGAGGTGGCCCCTGGCTCCGGGGACCAGACTTGAGGTCGCCGGGATGGGGGCACAGCCGCGCCACCTTCAGGCGGTCTAACCGCCAGGCCCGCTCGCTCCCAAAATAAACCCAAGTCTCCGTCTCCACTTAGCTTTCTGTACATCCCCGGGTGAAATGCCCACACCCGGGGGCACACCATGAACAGGTGTCAGGGCTCTGGTGAAAATGACTGGCTAAACATCTTGAGAACTGACTTTCTACACACACTAAAACTAACACCCTCGCTCCGGGAGCCCCTTAGTCCGCGGCCCCCAAACTTGCCCCACTCGCACAGGACCACTCCCTCCCCCAGCTGCATCCTAGCCAAGGTCCCAATCAGGCCTCGGAATTCGCAGGCTCGGCTCCGCCTACCTCCGGCTCCACCCCAAGGGCCGCCTCTAATCTCATCTGTTCTCCAACACCGCCCTCTGCCGGCCATCCTCGGGTAGCCCACTCCATGAGCCCCTTCCGGGTGCCCCGGAAGCGGAACTTTCTCTTCCGGGTCGAGTGTCCGGGAGGCCGCACGTGTCTGTGGCGTGGCGGCTTTAATTTCTGTGGAGTAGACGTGACTGGAACCGTCTCCCAGAGGCAGCGAGCCGAACCGGAGCCATGGAGGGCCAGAGTGTGGAGGAACTGCTGGCAAAGGCGGAGCGGGACGAGGCAGAGAAGCTGCAGCGCATCACGGTGCACAAGGAATTGGAGCTGGAGTTCGACCTGGGTAATTTGCTGGCCTCTGACCGGAACCCCACGACCGGGCTGCGGCACGCGGGACCCACACGGGAGGCCGAGCTGAAGGCCCTGGCGCGGGACAACACGCAGCTGCTCATCAACCAGCTGTGGCAGCTGCCTACCGAGCGCGTGGAGGAGGCGCTGGTGGCACGGCTGCCGGAACCCAGCACTCGTCTGCCGCGCGAGAAGCCGGTGCCCCGGCCGCGGCCGCTTACTCGCTGGCAGCAGTTTGCGCGCCTCAAGGGTATCCGTCCCAAGAAGAAGACCAATCTGGTGTGGGACGAGGTGAGCGGCCAGTGGCGCCGCCGCTGGGGCTACCAGCGCGCCCGCGACGACACCAAGGAGTGGCTGATCGAGGTGCCGGGCAATGCCGATCCCATGGAGGACCAGTTCGCCAAGCGGATTCAGGCTAAGAAGGAACGGGTGGCGAAGAACGAGCTGAACCGGCTGCGTAACCTGGCCCGCGCGCACAAAATGCAGCTGCCCAGCGCGGCCGGCATGCACCCTACAGGACACCAGAGTAAGGAGGAGCTGGGCCGCGCCATGCAGGTGGCCAAGGTCTCCACTGCCTCTGTGGGGCGCTTCCAGGAGCGCCTGCCCAAGGAGAAGGCGCCCAGGGGCTCCGGCAAGAAGAGGAAGTTTCAGCCTCTTTTCGGGGACTTTGCGGCCGAGAGAAAGAGCCAGTTGGAGATGCTGCGAGTGATGAACAGCAAAAAGCCTCAGTTGGACATTACGAGGGCCACCAATAAGCAGATGAGAGAGGAGGACCAGGAAGAGGCGGCTAAGCGGAGGAAAATGAGTCAGAAGGGCAAGAGAAAGGGGGGCCGACAGGGTCCTGGGGGTAAGAGGAAAGGGGGCACGCCCAGCCAAGGAGGGAAGAGGAAAGGGGGTTTGGGAGGCAAGATGAATTCCGGGCCTCCCGGCCTGAGTGGCAAGAGAAAAGGGGGGCAACACCAAGGAGGAAAGAGGAGGAAATAAATTTCATCCTTGGACCTTCGCCTAAACCAAGAACTGTACTTAATATTAAGTTCTAGATACAGTACCCAGATGCACAAGATTTGGCCACTGCCTTCATTGAGCTTGAGGTTAAAGGGCCAGGTTTGCCCTCCTCTGAGGATGATATGTAAATGTTGGACTGGACAAATTAATGTATTTCCCACAACCAAAACTCTGGCTGGAGATTAAAGGTTGTATTTAAGGATATCTGAACTAGGGAAAGAATCTGTGAAAACTAGGAATGAGTTTTACTTTAAAACAGACTTTTTTTTTCTTTTTAAACCTTGGATGGGGTTTAAGGGAGAGACTTAATAGCTGGTTTCTGCATTATTTTGATGCCACGTTTATGTATTTATCAAAGCAGGTGGGAACAAAAAGGTTACATTTTCAGGACTGTTGTAAAGGTTTTATATTAAAAATATGTCTGTGTCTAATGTTGCTTTTAACTTTTTGGCTATTCGTACAAATCTTAAGTAAAGCCAATAACCTGGATACCTGGTACAGATTATTTTCATTTACTTTGTAGAAAACGTAGCAGCTAAATTATGATTTCAGCAAGGCCACTTTATTAGAAAAACTCATCCTGCTTTTGGTGTCAGATATAATACAGAAAGTATGTCTCTTTCAAGAACAAAATTTGATGCTTTTCAAAACTGAAAACATTAATTTGCTGTAAATGATAAATTTGGGCTTCACTAAATAATGGTAATATCCTCAATTGTAATTTTTTTAAAATGTTTATTTATTTGGCTGTGCTGGGTCTTAGTTGCAGGATGTGGGATCTAGTTCCCAGACTAGGGATCGAACCCAGGCCCCCTGTATTGGGAGTGTGGAATCCTGACCACTGGACCACCAGGGAAGTCCTAATCCTAATTTTATACTTAAATCTTAATCAGTATTTATATCGCAGATTTTTTTTTAAAGCTTCAGGTGGGATCTGTTTGGGGAAGAGAGAAAGAAACCTACAAAATCCTTACTTGCAGTATTACTACTATCTTTTGATTCATTTGTCAAATTGACCTGAGCTGATCTAATTAGGCGGTGAAACATTTACAGTTATCCTGGATGTCCTTCCCTAACAGATTTCAGTAACTCATGTTTGTAAAACTAAATACCTCCTGAAAAGGATTCACAGTATACAGATCTAGAATGGGGGGCTTTTCTGCTATTATCGCTCTGGTGAGCCACCCTACTCTTGCTTTTTGGTCTGACACCTGATAGGAAATTGAGTTTGTCTCATCTTTCCATTGTTTTCCAATTTTTATAAGTTGCTTCTAGAAATTGCTATGAAGACGAGATTAATTCCGATTTCATAATAGGTTACTAAAAACACAGATTTTCAACTTACTGTCTCATACCTTCTGACAAAGTTGAACTGTGCCATCATTGATCATCGTTTCCACTGGGGCCTGGAGCACTTGGTGCTGTAAGCCCTCCCTTCTCATGTAACCATGGCAAGTTTTAACCATTGATTAAAAAAAGAAAACATAATGGTATCCTGAACAGCTTCTTCCAAAGCCAAACAGTTAATAAAGCATTTAACACCTTTTAAATTCTTCTCAACTGTCTGGGATTTTTTGTTATTTGTTTTGTTTGGGAATTTTTCTAGCTTTTGTTTTGTGACTTGACCTAGCAGTAGCACAGAAAACTAGTCTTGTTTAAAAAAAAGCGGATTTTTTTGCAAGGTTCTTATTTACCGTTAAAACAAATTTAAATGCAGTTGTGTTAGTGTATTCTGAAAATACACTTAAGGCAAAATAGCATTTTAAAGGATTTTGGGCTGGGGTGGGGGGGCTGCCCTTGTTTCTCTGTCCCCCATGTCTTGCCTTGTGAAATAGAGCGTTTTATCTAGAGACAGGAGAGCAGGCCAAAACACTACGGAGCAGTTACCTGTATGGCAATTTCAAAGGTGGACGATGAGACTTTGCAGCTGGAGCAGCCATAGCTTCAACTAGTGGGAAAATGTTCCGCCGCCAAGCGCTGTGGCTGGGGCAGGGGACCGCGCGGAGCCGGTGAGCTGCGCGGCGGGGTGGGCGGAGGAGAAGCGGAGGCCGGGATTGGCCGGCGGCGGAGGGGGCGTCGCCGGGAGGAAGACGGCTCAGCCATGGCCGCCGCTCGTGCCCGGGCAGTGCACTTGCTGAGGCTTCTGCAACGCGCAGCGTGAGTGCGGGCCGGCCGGCCGGGCGGGCAGGCAGGGGCTCCGAGGGTGCGGCCGAGCCCACGCAGCCCCTGGGGAGCGACCCACCCGGGCCCGCTTGTTTTCCCTCGGATCACTTTCCGGGACGCGGTACCGCAGAGCGCGGCGGCCTGGACTCCGCTGTCAGTGTGCTAAGGAGCCAAGCAGCCAAAGGCAGCCGCTTGTACTTCGCCTGATCCACCGTTAAGGGAGCTAAGGTCGAGAGAGGAGAGCTCCAGGTCCCAGTCGAGGCAGACAGCGGACAGCTTGGCACAGTGATCAAGACAAGTGCATGTATCCATCCAATCAGCACATGTATACTGGGTGTATGGTAATGCACCAGAAACTATTCTAGGTGCTGGGGATACAAGGACAAAAGGCTTTGGATCAGTTTAAAGTTAGCAGAGAATTGCGTGAGGGGATAGCAGTGAAGTTAGGCGTTGGTTCAGTGGTAGCATTCTTGCCTGCCACGTGGGAGGTCTGGGTTCTGATTCCTGGCCAATGCAGTGTCCTTATTTTTGGGCTTCCCAGGTGGCACAGTGGTAAAGAAACCTCTGCCAATGCTGACACAAGAGAGGCGGGTTTGATCCCTGGGTGGGGAAGATCCCCTGGAGAAGGAAATGGCAACCTGCTGCAGTATTTTTGCTTGGAAAATCCCAGGGTCCAGTCCATGGAGTCACGGTGACATGACTTAGCCACTGAGCATGTGCACAGAGGTGAAACGGGCCTGTGCAGGACGCAGAGGACAGAGGGTGCAGGAGAGAGGGAGGGATGTGAAGACCGAGGTGAACCGCAAAGGAACTCAGCCACACATATACATGTATACATTCTCCCCCAAGCTCCCCTTCCATCCAGGTTGCCACATAGCATTGAGCAGAGTTCTGTGTACTTGCTATACATTAGGTCCTTGTTGGTTATCCTTTTTAAACACAGCAGCGTGTACATGTCAATCCCAAACTGGGTTGCAGTGGGGGGAGGGGGGGGGTGGCTGGGGAGGGGGGCGTTGATGATGCAGGAGAGCAAAAAAAACTGTTGGTAGTGATGTTTTGAGAAGCTGAGCAGAGCTGAGATTTAGTGTGCAGGGGAGAGGTTGGCCTTTACTAAGATGTGGCCAGTTTATCAGTGATACCAGGAAGGAAATCAAGAGAATTGTGCCAATCCCAGAAGGTGTGTAGATGAGAGCCTGGCTGTAACTTTGCAGAGTTCAGGAGGCCAAGGAAATGGAGTCAGTAGGATGTGGGTGAGTAAAAGAGAAACCAGAGGGATGAGCAAGCCAGAGGGGAGAGGAGGGTGAGAGTTTTAAGCATGAAACTCTTAACTATGATGACAAGGATCAAATAAGGGGAAGGCTGGGACATAGGGGTCAGGTGGAGGTCCAAAGAAGGCAAGAGGGGGTGGGATTCAGACCACAACTGAGGAGTAGAAATGATGAATTGAGGTAGCCTGAGAGCTTGGACGCAGAGAGTCGGACACCACTGAGCGACTGAACTGACTGACTGACTTACTGAGAGCTTGGAAGTTATATAACAAAAAGAGAAGCGGAGTGTCCTCCCACAGTGTCGAGTTTTCCTTCCCTTTGAGTCCCTCTTCTTGTCCTGGAGGGGCATAAAGCAGAGAAGGACCTAGAAGGTAATGCCAAGTGAAGGACAACGCTGGGACCGCGCATTATTCGGTTTTCCCCGCGGGAGCTTGCAGATGGCTCAGGCCCTCCGGGATGCTCCCGGAGAAACCCTTACACGTGGCGCTTTCCACCGCGCCCACCAGATGGCAACCTCGACTCACGCTGGGGACTCACACCCGCCCACGCCCAAGTTCCCTTAATTCAGTTTTTGAGATTTTGACCATCATTGAGTTTAACGCTTTTCCTTCCTTCCCCTTTCCCTTCCCCCCTCTCCCCTCTCAGATGTTTTCAGTCCAAGTTTGCAGGCGGGGGTCGGGGGTGGGGATGGGGGCTGGGGGGTCTGCACGCGCTTACCTGCGGGACCCACCAGGACAGGGTCCCCTGGGCAATAGAAACACAAACCCTTTTGCGAGGCTCAATCGGATGGCGGTCAACAGAACAGGAAGCCAGAGAAGGCGCTGACCAAGGACTAGGAGGCGACCGGGGTGTGGAAGCTAAGGGGGGGAAGCTCTAGAAAGAGGAGGGTGTGGGGTATCTGTGGAGGAGCAGACTGAGGTGAGGGATTGGGGAGAAGAAGGTGACAGCTGTGATCTCAGTTTAGGGGGACACGGAGGGCGGGGCTGGGGAGGCAACGAAAGCCCTGAGCCAGAAGGGCCGGAGGCGCCACGTGGTGACCAGAGGGGGCCTGCAGGCCACAGAGGGCTGTCCGAGGAAGCAGCCCAGAGCCTGTTTGAAGACGAACCAAACACCCTGAAGATAATAGGAAAATACAAGGAAAGTTCCGGAGGAGAGTTGGCATCTGAGGTGAGAGTAGTTAACACTGGGTCAATTTGGCCAAAGCTCCTAACCTAGTAAGAGGTGAGACCTCATCTTAAACTTTATTGTAGCCCAGGCACTCATCTCAGTTCCCCATGGGCATTAACTGCTGCTTGAATAATTGGTGGAAGAATGATCCTACAATACTGGAAAGACTCCGAGCTGGCTTTATGTCAATGGTGATTTCTGGCTTTTTCTATTGTGCAGTGTTTGTCAACAGCCGCTACTTTGAGAGCATCTTAAAACTAGAATGCAATGTGTGTTACTTTAAAACTTCCTAGCTTCAGATTTTCTGGTTTCACTTTATTTTTTTCTTTTTCTGATTCCCTAGATGCCAGTGCCCAAGTCATTCTCATACTTATTCCCAAGGTAATAACACATTTTGTGTTTAGCCACAATTTCAGTTTCCACATTTGGCAATGCATTTGGATAAAGTCAAAGCATGTGAGAGGAAGATTGATGCAGATGCTTTGCACTTGAAACTGGTAACATGTAGTTCCAGTTATCTGGAGAAGGATCGGCAACCCACTTCAGTATTCTTGCCTGAAGAATCCCATGGACAGAGGAGCCCGGTGGGCAACAGTCCATGGGGTCACAAAAGAGCTGGACATGATTGAGCAACTGAACAACAACAGTTCTAACTATGTCAGCTGAATGTATGCTACTCATTATGTGTTTGGCTCAAATATACATTTAATGCTATTTATAGTGCCTTTCTTTTTGAAATAGAATTATTTGCCAAAGCTAAAAATGGTAATGCAAATAGGATTTTAGGATGGTCTGAATTCATCAAACAGAATTAATCAAGATGAAATCTTTGAAAGGTTCTCATACATTCCAAAAAAGAGTCTCAAGAACAGTAGGGTTCCCAGAAGGAAAAAAGTTTGTATTGATGTTTAAAATAACACTCTATTTCTTAATAATTAAAAATGATGAAAGTTTTCTGTTCCTACAGACATCTTAATCCTTACGAAATCCATTGTCCACAGTGGGCAGCAGGAGCTCACTGTAAGTTCAGCATGTCCCCAGAATGTCATATCTGATCATCTAAATCATCTAAAACTGATTTCACCTCTTAGGAAAAAATGTCACATCCTAACAGTGGTAAGGGATGAAAAGGAGGGTTCTGCACATACAGGAGCCTACCCAGAAACTCACCAAGAAGCTGGTTGGGAGTAGAACAGATAGAGTAACTAACCAAGGACTATTTCCTGCCATGAGAGTGACTCATTCTTTAGGACCAGCCAAGGGACCACCCCAGTCTTTAACAGCCATCCACCAAGCAGAAGCATGCCATGCCTTTTCAGCCCTCATGGACACATATAGAATTTTGTCTTCAGCTGCTTTTCTGCAATTGTTAACTTAGTTTCAACAACAAATCACTAATGTTTTCTGTTTGGGGCAATAAAATTAGTAATTTAGAGAAAGATAATCTCAGTGTTTTCTAAGATCCAATTTATGTCTTTTCCTAAATTTTAGTTACCGGAATAATAGACAATTTCTTTAAAGACTGTCAGTATCAAAGAAATTTGAAATATGATTAAGGATACCCTTGCCCTCTACCAAAGGTAGATTGTTATCCAGTTGTGGTCTCTTTTCTTTGTCTTGTAAAAAAAAATGGTAGTGAAAATTGTTCTGTAGACTTTTTTCAATCTTATGGCTGGTCAAGACTGATAACAATAAGTAGATGAAAACAAAGATAAAATCCACTAAGTAGAGACTTCTTGTTGTTCCAATAAGACCAAAAAAAATTTTTTTTGCAACAACTAAACCTGGCACCTTGCAAAGAAATATCCATTTATAAAAATTTTTATTAAATTTCCCAGAGAAAACTCAATAGTTCATAGGGGTAAGCTTGAAAAATATCTTGGTGTGATAAGTACCCTCCATAGAGAGAAGTTTTATTTAAATAATCACAGTTATTAAAGAAGTGTAAGCAGGACTCGAATGAATGAATTTACTAATAGTTGTTCTCTAATAATAATCAAACTCCATTGAGTCTAGAGGATTTTTTCTAGCAGATTTTTACTCATTATGTTTTCAAAAGTATATTTTAATTTCAATGGAGAAAAGATTTTAAATAACTTTATTTTCACAGTCTGCATCAAGTTAGCATTACATTATCTTAAAATGCAGAGTTTAATTTGAATTGAATAGGCAACAATGAAACTGAGAAATGTATTTTAAGTAACGCGTCAAAGGAAATATTTACATTCACTGCTGAAATCCCAATTTACTATCAAATAACAACATCTTTGCTCTGTTTCTGAGGCCTATTCTGACGCTAACTTTTCTACTTCTAGCTCCTGGGCTTTCACCTTCTGGGAAAACAACAGATTATGCCTTCGAGGTAGATTTAATTATTAATTCTTTTTTTTTTAATATTTATTTCTGTATGTATAATATTTGGCTGCCAGATCTTCGTTGCACGTGCAGGATCTTTATTGCAGCAAGTGGGATCTTTTTTTTAGGTGTAGCATGCAAACTCTTAGTTTTGACATATGGGATCTAGTTTCCTGACCAGGGATTGAACCCCGGCCCACTGCATCGGGAGAGCAGAGTCTTAGACAGTGGACCACCAGGGAAGTCCCCCTTCATTCATTCTTTTATGAATGACCTGAAAAAATACAACCAGAGTATCTCCCTAATGCATTACTATCTCATTTGAAGTCTGTTATTAATTGATGTTCCCTAACCTTATTGTTTGATCAGCACCTATTTTGCAAAGTTATTTTATCAGGATAATGGAATATAAATCTTCTGGTAACATGAGTAATGCGTAGAATACTGTCTTCCATACAGCCATTAAAACAGGATAGATTCCCAGTTCTACAAACTCCATCTTATATGTTGTATGATAAATCTTCTTTACTTTCGTAAAGAGATTCAAGTAGAATCTTTGAAGCAGGAATAAAGGAAGGATTAATTCGGATGAATTTTTTATCACACTGTGATTACATAATTATATGTTAAATCTCTGTCTCCTCCTAGTTCAGGGATCATAAATTAAAATGTGACCAGAGGCCTGACAGTTAATCATTCCAGGCGCAGACTGGGAGGATGGGGCTGAGTTGGCTGCGAGCACTGGCCCGTCTAAAGGGTCCAGTCTGCCCTTGGCCCCACTTGGCTGCTGCCACACTGGAATGCAGCCGGTACTGCCTGATTGAGGTCTTCCCAGGTGGTGCTAGTGGTAAAGAACCCACTTGATGGTGCAGGCAACATAAAAGACGTAGGTTCGATCCCTGGGTCGGGAAGATCCCCTGGAGGCAGGCATGTCAACCCACTCCAGTATTCTCGCCTAGAGAATCCCATGGTCAGAGGAGCCTGGTGCAGTACAGTCTATGGGGTTGCAAAGAGTTGAACATGACTGAAGCGCCTTAGCGTGCATACATGCTGCCTGATTATTCAAGGGAGATAGGAATTCAGATGGTCACATTGTTTTGTTTTTTCCTTTAATTGGATAATAAGAGTTACTACCCAAACCAAAAAGAAATAAATCTAAACATAACATGGATCAAACAAAACATGACTTCATGCCAAAAGTAACCCATCCTCCATCAGTATAAAAGCTCTTCTCTCGGCTGTAAACTATGAAACCATGTTTGTCTTCTTCATGGTTGTACTACCAGAGCCTATCACATGCCTGGAACATAGCAGACACTATGTTGGTTGGATGAAAGGATGGATGGATGGAGGGATGGATACATGCATGCAGTGGGGGTTGGATAGATGAATGGTTGGATGAGTGAATGAAGGCATGAAAAATACACAAAGACAACAACATTAACATTGGAAACTAAAATACTGAAGAACTCATTTAGGTGTGGAGGCAAGAAGAGGCAGGCATGTCAAGCTGAGGAAACAAATGAGGATTATGAAGTGTTTGGGGAAAAATACATAATTCTAGTGTGACTGGAAGGAATGTTTACTTAAAGAAGTGTGATGTGTGTAAGGCCAGTTGGGGTGACTTAGAAGGCCATGCTGGGGCGTATATACTTTATTATCCAGACAATGAAGAATGGTTTCAGGGTTTTAGAAATGAAATAACCAACTCTCCAAACACCTGTCACCTAAATCTTTTATTTTTCCTCAGATGGCTGTTTCAACTATTAGATATGGAGCAGGAGTTACAAAGGAAGTGGGCATGGCAAGTATTTAAGATTTCTACAGTCTTCTACTATAAATGTTATATATATATTTTTTACAGCAAGCACATATTAACAACTGTTGATACTTTGTTTTAATCTCATCTGATCTCAGAAGCTAAGCAGGGTCAGGCCTGGTTAGTCTTGGATGGGAGTCCTTTATTTTGGACTCAATTTTGTCAGAAGTGTCTATTACATTTTTTGTGCAATCAAACTTAACTTATAAGTTATTTTTGTTATTGTAGGACTTACAAAACATGGGTGCTAAAAATGTTTGTTTGATGACAGACAAGAACCTCTCCCAACTCCCTCCTGTACAGACAGCGATGGATTCCCTAGTGAAGAATGGCATAAACTTTAAGGTTTATGACCATGTGAGAGTGGAACCAACTGATACCAGGTATTCTTTTATTGTTGTTAAATTTACTTTAAGCAGAAGCCAATGCATATCAGTGCTGATATGCCCCAGACCTGACTGTATAGCCCTCCAGGCTCCTCTGTCCATGGAATTCTCCAGGCAAGAACACTGGAGTGGTTTGCTGTTTCCTTCTCCAGGGGATCTTCCCGACCCAGGGATCGAATCCATGTCTCCTGCATTGCAGGGGCATTCTCTACTGTCTGAGCCATCAGAGAAGCCCTATTTAATGGCATGGCAATTTATTTCTGGAAATCCTGACATAATGGCATTCATTTTTCCTTATCCAAGCTTCATGGAAGCCATTGAATTTGCCAAAAAGGGAGCTTTCGATGCCTTCCTGGCTGTGGGTGGCGGTTCCACCATAGACACCTGTAAAGCCGCTAATCTGTATTCGTCCAGTCCTGACTCTGACTTCCTAGACTACGTCAATGCCCCCATTGGGAAGGGAAAGCCTGTGACTGTGCCGCTGAAACCTCTGATCGCAGGTAAACACTGTCTGTTTTATTTTGCAATTGACAAAAGGCCTTAGGAAAGACGCTGATCATGGTGTTTAGTTGCTAAATTGTGTCCGACTCTTTTGCGACCCCATGTACCATACTCTGCCAGACACCTCTGTCCATGGGATTCTCCCAGGCAAGAATACTGGAGTGGGTTGTCATTTCCTTCTCCAGGGGATCTTCCCAATCCAGGGATCGAACTCGAGTCTCCTGCATTGGCAGGCAGATTTCTTTACCACTGAGCCACCTGGGAAGCCCTGTTAGGAAAGATACAAGTCAGTGATTTTGGGGTGTGTGTTTCCAGAGTTTTCTGATTTCTTCATTTTAATACAATACCTTGTTTGGAGATCAAAATAGATTCAAAATTCATTCATGTTTAAAATTCTTGTCTCCGTTGCCACACAGACAGAGGCAGTTTGGGTCAGTGGCAGGGGTCTGCAGGGCTCAGCTATGAAGTCACGATGTGGAGGAGAAGGAAGGCCAGTGCTTATAGATGCTCAGACCCTTCTCTGGGCAGGCCTGTCTTCTGAGCCCTTCTGCTTTGTCCCGCTTTGGCAGCCACTGGGGAGTTGAAGGGGAATGTTTGCTGTCATTTTTCTGGTGTTGACTCAACCCTTTCTTCCACACGATGGCTCTGCAGCTGACCTGGGGCTTTGTCTCTGCCCCAGGACATGTGGCCAGCATAGCATTGTCACGCTGGCCGACATCTGCTCTGTGGCTACATAGGACACAGACACACAAACCCAAATCGGGCTCGCTCATCTGGTCCACGCAGACCTGGGGATCTTTTGGTCTTTTCTTTCCTCCATGTTATGGCTGTCGGCACATCACTGTTTAAAGCCTTACAGCTCAAATGCCCTAACTGGAAAATATAAGCTTAATGTCTTGTCCTCTATCTTCCCCACTCCTCCCCTACCCCCACTGTGACGGAGCCTTGTGCTGGGACAGGAGTGAGTTGACGGCAGATGAACGGCTTTGATGTGAATGAGGGATCAGTGGGGTGCAGCATAATTGACGTCTGGAGATTGGAACCCTGTGGTGAAACTGTGTCAGCATCACACAGAAGGGTGATTAGTAAAGTTTAGAAATTTGACTGAACTACAAAACCGCAGAGCCCAGCAAAGGCAGGGTGTCACTGTGCTTGCTGCCAAGGGGGAATAAAGATGTCTTTTAGAGATGGCAAATATGAGCTTTCTTCCCAGAGATGGCAAGAGGCCTGCTTTTGAATTCCAAGCTGCAGCTGCTTAAACTCTGGCCCTGAGGGAGCCCGGGACTCCCAGAGTGCCTCCCTGTTAATACACAAACAGATATCACATAACACGTTAAACACACATGTGTGTAATACAAATGTGGATGTGGTACATACATGCTGGGCATACATACATGTTAGCACCATACGGACATCAGACATACATGCTGACACAGATACAAGCATCATGCATACGTATCAAGTACACATGCATTAGGTTTACATGCATGTTAATGTAGGTGTGTACCTCATATATACTGAGTATTAATGCATGAGTAATTAATGCCAGCACACACACGTTAAACACAGATGCCAGAAAGTTAATGCCAGCACAGGGATCAGACCTGTTCCTCACATGTTAATGCAGACACAGTCACACACATCAAGCATGTGTGTGCTAAGTTGCTTCAATGGTGTCTGACTCTGTGACCCTATGGACCATAGCCCACTAGGCTCCTCTGTCCATGGGAATCTCCAGGCAAGAATACTTGGGTTGCCATGGGTTGGGAGTGGGTTGCCGTGTCTTCCTCCAGGGGGTCTTCCCAACCCAGGGATCAAACCCACGTCTCCTGCATTGGCAGGTGGATTCTTTACCACTAGCGCCACCTGGGAGGCCATCCACATTAAGCATGCATACATGTTAACACAGATACACACATCGAGCGAATAAACAAGAGCAACAAAGCTTTCCTCTCTAACTTTGCTCCTTATCTCCTGAGGCTGAGTTAAGTATCGCCACTGACCTTTATTTAGGTGCTCCATTAAAATTAACTTTTTTGTTGTTCAAGTTCCAACTACCTCAGGCACCGGGAGTGAAACTACCGGAGTTGCCATTTTTGACTACGAACACTTGAAAGTAAAAACTGGTAAGAACATCCTCTATAAATGTTTTTTAGTTCTCTTAGCTCTCAACTCCACTCCCTTTTCTTTAATCCTAATGTTTAAAATTCAAAGAGTTACAGAATTAAGGAAAGAGTATGCACATAGACACATATTCTTTCTTTTCCCTGATACATAGAAGAGTACGAAGCAGTCTAATAATCTCGTTTTTGAGAATTACCAACAAAAGCAGATTGAAATGCCATGAACCAGGGCCATTTTTCTGCCCAACTTTGTGACTGTATATCAATGACAAATGGTTATTCCCTTCCCTAGTTTTTTTTACATTCTAACTCATTTTCTTTGAGATGTGATTTTTTAATAATAAAACGTATAATTTTAAGAATCTGGTTTGATGAGTTTTGACAAATATATACACACATGTACCCCCCACCCTAATCAAAATATAGATATTCCCACTGCTCCAGAAAGTTCCCTCATGCTTCTTCCCAGTTAATGTCTCCAGCCCCATTCCCAAGTACCGACTCTTCTGCCTTCTACCTTCTTTGTCATCTGTATCCTATCATCTTCTCCAACTCTCAGCTAATCTGGGAGCAATGTCCCTCTCCTTGAGATGGCTCAGCATCCTTCTTCCAGGGCTTTGTAGCAGAACACATTGGCAATGAACTTCACATTTATGGTAACTTCTATTTTTAAATTAAATTATATTATCCTGTGACATTGTTAAAGACACTAATAATAGTAAGCGACACTTAAATTCTCCCTTACATTTTTTTTGAAAGACTTCCCTATTATGTTATCTAATGTGGTCCTTACAACATCTCTGGGAGGGAGGGAGGCCCTGTGTCACCAGAGTCTGATCTTACAGAGAACTCAGAGAGCTCCCAGAGAGAGAACTCAGAGAGGCACAGACATGTACCAGTGTCACGCAGTAAGTCACAGAGCCAGGACCCAAACCAGCAGTGTGCTGGTAAACCAGTTCTCCAGAGTTTTACGAATAAATAAGCCCTGAGTTGTAGCATTTGCATGATGTAAATACTCCACTATAGTTACAGCCTGGAGCTGGGACCAGATGGGATAGTGGCTTTTGTAAACTGCAGGGAGCTTCAGTTGCCCTGAAATTCCCAGGTTTCAGATTCCAGATCTCTTTCTGCTGTTCCTTGCTGCCTCCCTAAATGAGAATGAATCTTATCTCATATTTTGATTTTTTTAGGATAATTTGTTACCCTAAAGTTATTTGATTTTTTAAAAAACTGTGTCCATACCTATAGCCTGTGTTGCAAATCCCTGTCTTAGGCATTGCTTCGCGAGCCGTCAAACCCACACTGGGCCTGATTGATCCTCTGCACACCCTGCACATGCCTGGGCGGGTGGTCGCCAACAGTGGCTTCGATGTGCTCTGGTAGGTACCCAGGCCCCCTGCAGGGGCTTTTGGGGACTTGGGTCAATGCACAGCACTTGACTGCTGAAAGCACTTGCTAAGCTCTCACTGATTGTGCTCCACAACCACAGCTTTGGCTGTCGTTATCCTCTTGCCTGGATGACAAGGCTGAAGCTGTGAAAAGGAGGTGAGGTCCTGGGTGAGTCACAAAGCTGCTGCACCAGCCCAGCCACAGCTGCAACCACAGGATCAGAGAGACAGGTATGCAGCACCTCAGGCCCACAGCACTGCCTCTGCTGTACCAACTCAGGGACCCCGGGCTGCAGCCAGAGGAAGAGAGCAGGGACAGGAGTGTCCATTTCCTGAGCTGGACAGGCTCACTGTCGGCACTTACACCCCACCACTTCCCCACGGCTCTGTGCCAGGCGGAAAAGAAAACTGGACTGGAGACATTTAGCTACTCGCCCAGAGCCACAGCCCATATTCTCCTAGCTTTAGCTGCCATGTGCTGATGGCTCCCACATCCATGTTTCTGCTCAAGTTCTGGGCACTTTGTTCCAGTGGCATCACAGGGACCCACAGGCACTTCACTTTCAGCTGGCCCCAGCTGTACCATCCATTTGCGAATGTACATTTATTCTCCATTTTAACATCTCTGAAATTAGGGCATATCTGTATATCTGTGGCATGCAGTATGGTTTTCTTCCTCAGTGGTACTTTTTAAAAATGGTGCATCTTATAATGGATGGCATCTTCGAGTTGATGAAATCTGACCATTCTCTCACCACCACCCCCTCACCCCTCACAGCTCCTCCTCCTGGGTTCCTTACCCTAGTGAGCAGCAGGACATAGTATGAACTTATCCCTTGTCTCATGCCTACACCTAGCCACAGAGCTCACTCTCGTCTACTTGAATCTCTCCCATCTGCTCGCTGCTCTCAAGCCTCATGGTCCCACCTCAGCTCAAGCCTGGATCGAGTGCAGCAGCCTCCTCATCAGTTTTCCTGCTCACATCCCATATTCCTTCCATTTGTCCTCCATACTGGCCTCAAGAAGCTTCCTGAATACAATATGACCACTGCGCACATACACACACACGCCCCTCCACCTTATCAGTCTCATTGCATTTCCACACCTCCTGTCTAAAGGCCAAGTTTCTTTGGCCCTGGACTGTCCCAGTGCTCAGCTCTTTATCTGCTTGGGGAAGTCATCCTTCGTTTCCACTGGGGCATCCTGCCATTGATGGAGCCTTTGCTGACTGCTCCCCGCCTCCTCAAGAATTCTGTGCTTTGCTTCTCCCCACTGGGGGGCTGTGCCTTGCTTTGGAGATGCCCTTCTCTGCATGATATCTCTCTCACTGCACTGTGAGCTTGGTGAGGACAGGACAGTCTTACGGACTTCTGCATCCCTGTCCCTTAGCAAACGGGCTGTCACATCATAGGTACTCAGTTAACACCTGCTGAGTGAAGTTCACACAAGCAGGCAGCAGCAGAGTTAGGGTTGATGTCCAGGTCTATCCCAGTCCATGGTCTGCTTTTCTCACTGCATTATGCTGCCTGCCAAGAAATGGGAGAAAACTGTGTCCAACTCCATCCTGGTCGATGTTGTCAGTACTTTGGAGAGTTGTCCTCTAATAACTTGGAAATAAGGGAAATGAGATTACCCTCCCTAGCTGGGAACTGCATAATAAATATATTAATATAACAGACCAAAGCAGTCACGTGTAAATGAATGACCTACAGACCCACAGACTTTGCTGTCAATCAGGGGAGGGACGTGAGCTCAGAACAAAAGTCAGTGATGGCAGCGGCCCTTGCAAGGACTGGCCACCAGAGAGCACATGTGGTCCAAGGAGAAGTCTGCCCCCGAGGCCCAGTGGCCTGTACTGAAGATGGATACACCCATATATTCAACCTTAGAAGCAGTGACCCTGGTTAGGGCTCCATGGGCCTTGTGATCACAAGTTAGCATCCACAGCTTTGACAACAAGGAGAATAGATGCCATCTAGTAGGCTCAGATGTCTGCCCCCCTCTGAGGTTCTATTTTCTTCTTTTTTCTTTCTTTCAAAATACATTTTATTAGTGGCATATGGAATTCAAAGTGAAACAATTTCTTTCCAGAGAGAAAGTAAGCCCTGACAGGTTATAAAAAATTGAGCAGATATGTCATAGCAAAAATACTGTCTCCAGTGTAAAGAGGCTATCTAAGAGGAATACTCTCCACCAAGGAAATGACTTTCTTTACCATGCTGACCACAGTGGACACCCAGTTTAGCTAGGGGAACCCAAAGGACTAGACAGTCATGGACAGAGGTTCTATTTCTTGTTGGAAATCAGTAATCAGACTTTCAAGTTTTACACACAGTTTCCCTGGTAGCTCAGGTGGTCAAGAGTGCCTGCAATGCTGGAGACCTGGGTTTGATCCCTGGGTGGGGAAGATCCCCTGGAGAAGGAAGTGGCAAACCACTCTAGTATTCATGTCTGGAAAATCCCATGGACAGAGAAGCCTAGCAGGCTACAGTCCATGGGGTCACAAAGAGTTGGATACAACTGAGTGACTAACACTTCTGTGAGCTCAGTTCAGTGAATCTACCCCTGAAAGACAGATGCAGTCTTGGGCCCAGAATCCAGATACACAATTCAACTCTGCACCTTGGCAGGCTTGTTACCACCCCTCCGCCCCACGTGGGCACCTCCTTATTGCTTTGTGCACATTTCTTATTTAGAACCACAAACCCATAGCTTTTGTCTACCAACTAATTCTTTTTGAAGTTCTAATACTTTGTTTCAAAAGATGTCATCTGCCTCTCACATGTAGATGAGAGTAAACTCTCCATGCTAAGACTGAGACGTGTAACTCACGCACATAGCAGTGCTCGTTATACTGTGTTCCCAGTGAGTTACTGATCTGCATGATTATGTTTATTCCCATCTTCTGCACCTGATTAGTTAGAATTCACAGCAGGCCAGTAGGTAAAGGAAACTCTGATACTTTGTTTTTAAAATAGCCAAGCCTGAACTTAGGGCCTATAGGAAAAAGAAGTAGATGTTTTTTCAGGCCAAGCATTAATAATGGTGAATGATAAATTTTACAAAATGCTGGTGCAATATGCTAAGTAATTTACCTGTGTCAATTTTCACATCAGCACCATGAAGAAAGACATAATATGAGCTATCCTCATCCTTAGAATCACAAGGAGGATGGTGACTCTCCCGGTCCCAGGGTCTCCAGTTCCAGACCCACAGTGGGAAAGCCTGGTGCCAGAATTCACACCTGGGAGCTGACCCACTGCACTGCACACTTATCAGAGGCTAGTGTAACTATTATGACCCTCCTTGGGTGAGTAATATGGTATCTGATCAAGGCAGGGTATAAAATGGTAAATATACTTTAGAAGGAAGTCATTTTTCAGATTAGTGGTTTTCTTAACACAACTTAAATGTTTAAAAATTCAACATTATAAAGATGTATTGGAAAGAACCATATGTAATCTTAACACATACTGGTCAAAAACACAGTAGTGCTGTTAATGCCAACTTCACTGCATTGTTGTTCAGTCACTCAGTTGTGTCTGACTCTTTGTTACCCCATGGACTGCAGCATGCCAGGCTTCCTGTCTTTCACCGTCTCCTGGAGTTTGCTCAGACCCATGTCCATTGAGCTGATGATGCCATCCAACCATCTCCTCCTCTGTCACTGTGTTAATTTCTATAATAAGTGATGACTGTCATAGACAAGAGACAGATTAGTGAGAGGCCTTGTGATTATCAGCCCTACAAAGCATATCCACGGGGGAGTGAGAACCAAGCATTCTGAGGCAGTTTGTGATCTGAATGGAGGGAAGGAAAAAGAGGATGCTTTCAACTGGGTAATTTTGACTATTCCTTGCTAGCCACGCCCTGGAGTCCTACACTGCCCTCCCGTATCACATGCGGAGCCCCTGCCCTTCAAGCCCCATCACTCGGCCAGCCTACCAGGGCAGCAACCCCATCAGCGACATCTGGGCAGTCCACGCACTGCGGATCGTTGCCAAGTATCTGAAGAGGTACGTGGCCCAGAGCGGACAGAAACAGGGCAGAGAAACCAGTTTCCACCTTCATGAAATGTGGCTCGCCAGATCCTGAAATGTCCTAAGCAAGCCTGTTCACCCAAAAAAGCAGTCACTGTGCATACAGAAGCACCAGAGACCAGCAACCTCTGGAGGGAGCCCCAAGGGGACAGATGAAAACCAGATCCCTCGATCTAGAAAGGCAAAGCCCAGGATGGGACTACATAGGAGCCTGATTTATAACGGATGCAGCTAGAAGGTTTTTTAGGGGGCTTCCCAGGTGGCGCTAGTGGTAAAGAGCTTGCCTGCCAATGCAGGAGGATCCCTGGGTTGGGAAGGTCCCCTGAAGGAGGGCATGACTCCCCACTCTAGTATTCTCGCCTAGAGAATCCCGTGGACAGAGAAGCCTGGCGGGCTACAGTCCATGGTGTCACAGAGTTGTACACAACTAAAGGATCTTAGCACGTGCACATGCAGAACATTTGTTCATCAAAACCTCAAAACCAAAGCTGGGGGATGTCCTTTGAGATTTGGTCACCAAGGGCAGAAATGAGAATCATGAGATAGATGTTGGTCCTGCCCCGCCAGGCCTTATCCAGAGGCACACAAGGTTGACCCATAAGCAAATGCACATGAACCCCAATTTAAGAAATAAATGTCAGGACTTCCCTGGTGGTCCAGTGGTTAAGACTCTGCCCTTTCTCTGCAGGGGGTGCAGATTTGATCCCTGGTCAGGGGACTAAGATTCCACATGTCATGTGGCACACCAAAAAGAAAAAAGAAAGAAATGTGTACCGTTGTCTGTCCTGGGAGACAGAAAAGTCTTCCTGAAAAGATTCCCACAAGATTTTGAAAGATTTATGCATGAAACAGGCTCATGAGAGAGCAAAGATACACTAGGAGATGAAAAGTGATCCCTAAGACATTGAGACTTATGCAAAGTCAAACTCATGTTTGTATGTATACACAACAGAGGGAAAGAATAGGGCAGGTTTGGTCTAGATGTGACTACAGGGCCTCCTCTGGCTGGAGGGGTGGGGTCTAGGACCACATTTTGCAACAGAGCTGGGGGAGGATCACGAACTATCTTGGACTCGCAGGGGCATCAGGGAGCATCTGTCTGCGTAGAAGCGGATACAGATTATGGCCGGCCGGCGTGTGTGGCAGGGACACAGGCTCAGCAGAGCAGCAGTGGGAGGTGAAGGGGCAAAATGGACAGAGGAAAGGCCACAACTCCACCATCCACTACTTCATCTTGCTATTTGGGAATAAGGAACTGACCCTGGGTTTTGGAAAGAGACAGTTGCCTGACTATTCCAGATAAAAGAAGGAAAAAGGCTGTGGCATTTTTATTTCAGAGCAGGAACCCTTATTCCAGGCAGAATCACAGAAAAGCAAGTGGGAAGTGGTTCCTTTGGCTGTCTCAGGCATTCTCTCCTGGGGCAGGGCTTCCAAGTCCTGGAGCAGGAAGGCTCAACTACATCTGAAAGCGGCCTTTGAGAATTGGCCTTTCCTGTATGGCACTGGGGAGGGATGGAGTGAGCGAAGGCTCGTCCTACAATAACATGCCACTTCCACAATAAAAAGTATAAAAATAACATGCAGTTTGCAGATACCAAAAGAGGTCTCCAGTGCGTCCAATTTGGGTGGTGCCACAGAAAGCATGATGTCTGGGCAGCTCGTCTGGCCTGTAGGTACCCCCAGGCGACAGGGACTCACTTCATCTAACCAGCCTGGACCCATGCATCCTGAGCATGTGTTTAGGTCCACTCGCAACCACAGTCAAGGTCACTGACAAGTGAAGAAGAAGAATGAGTCTCGGGGCACTTCTCTAGAGCAGCTTTTGCAGTTTAAGGGTCAGTGCTTTCTTCCCCTGCTAATTTTATCACATGAGCAGCCTGACGGCATAATATATGCCTTTGCTGCAACCACTGATAAGAAAATACATTTCCCTTCAGTTTTCGACAAGGTGTCATTTGAATAACTTGCCTAATTTTTCTTCCTATCGAGTAGTGTTTCTTTTTTTTTCTCCCCCAGATCTTTCCCTAAGGCAGCTCTTTATTTCAATAGGGAATGCCAATGTTGTTGGCATATATTATTGTTATGTGTTTATATCATCCACAGGGCTGTCAGAAATCATGATGATCTTGAAGCAAGGTCTAATATGCACTTGGCAAGTGCTTTTGCTGGCATTGGCTTTGGAAATGCTGGTGTTCATCTATGGTGAGCAAATCTGAGATTTTATTTCTTCACCTAAGCTATTGCCCTTAAATTTTATTTTAGTGTCTATCATTTAGGATGTGTTGTAAGATTTTAAACGTGCTACAGAAAAAAGAAATTTAACTTAGGGTCCCATAATATTTTCTTAGTTCAAATGCAGTTTATTGGGTCATAGATTTTTTTTTCTTTGTGGTAACACCCTTATTAACATATAATTCATACCCTATAAAATTTGCCCATTAAAAATTTATAATTCAGTGGGTTTTAGTATATTCACAAGTTGTGCTACCATTACAATAATAAATTTAGAAAATTTTATCACCTTTGAAAGAAATCCCATATATCTTAACTGTCACCTACCAATCCTCCTATACCCCCAGTCTTAAACAACTACTATCTACTTTGTCTCTATAGATTTGCCTTTTCCAGACATTTCATAGAATGGAAACAAATGATATGTGGTCTTTGTGTCTGGCTTCTTAAATTTAGCATCATGTTTCCATGGTTCATTCCATACACGTTATTAGTACTTCTTTCCTTTTTCTTGCTAAGTAATGTTCCATTGCATGGATATACCTAACATTTTATTTACTCATCAGATGATGGACATTTGTGTTGTTTCCACTTTTTTGGCTGTTATGAATAATCATGTATAAGTTTTCCTGTGGACCTATGTTTTCACATCTATGGAGTATATACCTAGAAGTGAAATTGCTGGGTCACATGGTGACTCTGTGTTTAAATTCTGAGGTACTGCCAGGCTGTTTTCCAAAGAGGCTGTACTATTTTGCATTCCCACCAACAGTGGATGGGGGTTCTGATTTCTCCACATCCTTGGCACCTGTCATGGATTTTTCAAACACCAAACGCAGGATTTTCTTCTCCTGATCTCTCTCAAAAAGGAAGGGATTAGAATATTTGTTGATAGCCCAGAATTAATCTGTTTGATCAGAAATATATTGGTATGTTGACTTAAATTAAAAAACCAGTGAACATGGAAAATTAAGAATTGGCCCTTGTTCTGTATGGGAGGGGAGTTTGGAAGAGAATGGATACATGTATATATATTGCTGCATCCCTTCCATGTTCACATGAAACTATCACAACATTGTTCATTGGCAATATCCCAATACAAAATAAAAAGTTTCTTAAAGAATTGGCCTTTGCTAGTGGAAGTGCAATGAAATGGTCACCTTCAAACTCTGCTGTGAGGAGCACAGATAGGCACCAACTTTCTAAGAAGCAAATGAATAAAATCTACCCAGAGCTTGGAAAATGTCTCTACCCTTTGCCCCATGAATTCTACTTTTAGGAATGTAGCTGAAAGAAATACTCATGATATGATCAAAGACTTTCCTTATGAGGATATTCATCTAAAAAGTTATTTATAATCGAAAATTTCAAGAATAACCTAAATTCCCAACAGTTTGGGAATGGTTACTAAATTTAAGTATTCAAAGAATAAACCATCAAAAATAATGTTTTAAAAGAGTAAAAATTATATGGGAAAGTATTTTTCAAGAATATTAGTAACCATGTGCATGCATGCTAAGTTGCTTCAGTCATGTTCGACTCTTTGTGACCCCATGGACTGTAGCCTGCCAGGCTCCTCTGTCCATGGGGATTCTCCAGGCAAGAATACTGGAGTGGGTTGCCATGCCCTCCTCCAGGGGATCTTCTCAACCCAGAGATCGAACCTGTGTCTCTTACATCTCCTACATTGGCAGGCAGGTTCTTTACCTCCAGCACCACCCGGGAAGCCCTAAGTCAACAGCAGTGTTTAAAATCGAATGCACAATACAAAAACAGAAAAAGAGACTCCTATGTATAGAACAGACTTGTGGACTCTGGGAGAAGGCGAGGGTGGGATGTTTCAAGAGAACAGCATCGAAACACATATATTATCTAGGGTGAAGCAGATCACCAGCCCAGGTTGGGTGCATGAGACAAGTGCTCGGGCCTGGTGCACTGGGAAGACCCAGAGGGATCGGGTGGAGAGGGAGGTGGGAGGGGGGACCGGGATGGGGAATACATGTAAATCCATGGCTAATTCATTTCAATGTATGACAAAAACCACTACAATGATGTAAAGTAATTAGCCTCCAACTAATAAAAATAAATGAAAAAATAAAAAATAAAAAAAATTAAAAAAAAAAGAAAGAAAATAAAAGGTAGAACTGTTGTCAAGTGACGTTCAATAAATGTCAATTAGGTCAAAATAAATAAATAAATAAATAAAAATAAAATCGAATGCACAATACAATCATAAATTAAAAATATGTGAAATAAGACTAGAAGGGAATATTCTATAATGGTTATCTTGAAGAAATAGGATTATGGATCATTTTTATTTTTTACAACAAATATATATAATGGTTAAAAGAAATCAGATATTGGATACTGTTAGAAAGGTACTTTGAAAGCTACATGAATCCTTTCATATAGTGGAAGAACACCAAGCTATAATTTTCTGAATACTATGGAGCCTGACAACAGTAAAGCACGTTCCTATCCAACAACTCAGAGAGCTTATACCTTCTGATCTGCTTTATGAGTGATGACAGGCATGGGGCACCTTTTTTTTTTTAGATAACCACATAATTCACCAGAACACTTCATCTTTCTATGAAATATAAATTTTTTACTGACTAATAACAAAGTCATCCAATAAAACCCACATTAACAGACACTTTTACTATTGTAAAACATTTCATTTTCAAAATATTAATTGTAAATATATTAACTTCTCACAGTGTGTATCTTCTGAGTCATCTTATAAACTATTATATTCACCTATTTGTTCACTAAGAATTTGAGAGAGTATAGAGTTTTCCCATTAAAACAAACAGAAAAAATCCCCACAAATGAAAACCATGGTGCCTTTTCTCGATAGCCTTTCAGACTGAAATCATCATGTATGACTCAGTTCCCATTAGTACGTAGCTTTTAAAAGAACGTATTAATCACTGGCAAGACGGATCACTGGTGGAACAAGTTTGCACGTCTAGCACAGTACATCTTGGTTCATAAAACTCCCACCAACGTCTTCAGTTTGTGAAGGAGCACATTGCCAAGGCTGTGCCGAGCAAGATAGAAAATGCATACCCTGAAGATTGTTTAAAAAACTTCAAAGTGAATTCTTGATTTCTTCAAGATCATAAGGTTAACTAATGTGCTCGAGGAGCAACTTCTGCGTTAGTACTTTTTAATGGCATGTAGTTTTATCAGCATTTGATTTTGAACATTTCAGTGGTTTTGTCAATGAATATACCAAATATCAATTGCATAATAATATATCCTCATAGGAATCAAAGTAAACAAAATGTCTAACCTTGTGGGTTAATAATACTGTCAAGAGACTGTGAGGGGCTCTCCCATAAGAGTATCTTTGTATTGTTAACTTGAATTTCTGTTAGATGTCAATATAAGGACTTTATTTTTTTTCTAGCCATGGAATGTCTTACCCAATTTCGGGCTTAGTGAAGACGTATAAAGCAAAGGATTACAATGTGGATCATCCCCTGGTGGTAAAATCATAATAAATGCCTTAATTTAATCTTAGATTCCTGTCAGTTGCCATCAGTGTTTTCTGTCAATTCTTGATTGTTTGGAATACAGGATAAAGTAATTTAATATCTAGAGTATTCAGGTTGAAGACCAGCCTTGCCCCAGCAGTCACCATGTTTCCTTTCTCCCCAGCCTCATGGCCTTTCTGTGGTGCTCACGTCCCCTGCAGTGTTCACGTTTACATCACAGATGTTTCCTGAGCGGCACTTGAAAGTGGCAGAGATATTGGGTATGAACCATTCATCATAACTCTGTGACCCACATCTGTGGAGCATTTCCTAAGATTGCTTCTGAAGATAAGCCATAAAGACTAATACCAAAAATACTGCTTTGAGATAATCTAATAATACAATGTCAGTGACCTTCCCAGATTCCTATCTAGCACTAAAATCCTGTGATTTTGTGTCTCTAAGAATCTATTAGCAATGAAATGGAACCAGGTATTGCTTACTTTAAATTTATAGTAATAGAATTTCCCCTGTTTTCATCTCCAAGGGAAGTTAAATTCTGTATACTATTCATGTTACTAATGATTCTTGTTTTAATAGGAAATAAAGTGAGTCTAAATCAGGAAGTAACAGTAAATTCCCAATTATAGAGAACCTAAACAACTAGAAACTTCATAGAAAGTTCCCCAAAGAAGAATCTGTTTGCTGTTCTGTTGATAAATCACGTCTATGATAAGATACCCACAGTGCCTTTTGAATCTTACAAGAAATACGTTTATGGTCACTTTGTGTGCTGTGCTTAGTCGCTTAGTCATGTCTGACTCTTTGTGACCCCCTGGACTGTAGCCCACCAGGTTCCTTGTCCATGGGATTTCCCAGGTAAGAATACTGGAGTGGGTTGCCATTTCCTCCTCCAGGGGATCTTCCCGACCCAGAGATCAAACCATCTTCTCTTGTATTGGCAGGCAGATTCTTTATCACTGAGCCACCTGGGAAATTAGCCATTATATATTTTGATTCCCTGTAATCAAAATCAATAATGTATCTTAGATCATTTTAACTTTATACCCATCTGTTCTCTCTCCTACCTTCTCTTTTTTTCTAAAACACTTCTTAGGAAAACCTGGAGGTTTGGATGATGTGTTTTATGGCAGCAATCTTGAGGACATAAAAACCTCATAAACCCCGTATCATGTGTCACCCTCCACTTAATCCACATCTGAGCTACCGCTATGTAATACAGACTAGTCTTGTCAGGCAAGCTTTACTTTCTGTCCAGCTGCTCTCCCAACTAGCTCTGTATCTCATTCTATTTATACCTTTTCCTGGATTTCTTAAACAGTTCTCTCTGTCAGAGAACAGAGAGGCTAAACCTAATTTAATAATATACTTCTATATGGAGGAAAACCATACATACTAGTCTCTTTTTGACCAATACAGAGAAAGTGGACTTGGACTATAGCATGGGGCATTCTTGATAATAAATAATGCTGCAATCTGTTCACAGATTGCTTCACTACCTGGCAGTGAATGTGTCTAGCTAGAATAGATGGGGGACAAGGGTGCTAAGGGTTTGGGATTGGTTCTCTATCTGAGAACTGTCACTGCCACCCTCCCTGAGGGCAGAACCCCCTGGCCCTTCCAGACTGACATCTCTGTGATTTTGTGCATTAATTAGTAATCATGTCCAAACTGTTGTTCAGTCACTCAGTCATGTCCAACTCTTTGCGACCCCATGAACTGCAGCATGCCAGGTTTCCCTGTCCTTCACCGTCTCCCAGATTTTGCTCAGACTCATGACCACTGAGTCAATGATACCATGCAACCATCTTCTGCCCTTGCAAATCTCCAACCCTTGGCAGCCTTCTTTTTATTCACTGATATGATTGAAGTTCACTGCTCAGTCATGCCTGACCCTTGGCGACCCCATGGACTGTTGCCCACCTGCCTCCTCTGTCCATGGGATTTCCCAGGCAAGAACACTGGAGTGGGTTGCCATTTCCTACATAATAAATACTGCTTTCTAAAAGACTCCTTGTTCTTAAATTTGCCCGAAAGGTTCTGTAAAGGATATTTAAAGGAACCTGCCCTTTGGCAACAGAGCCCCCCGCCAAATTCTCTAGCTATGGACAGGAGATATATTCCTTCTCTGGCCATACTGAATCCATTTGTCATCTCATTTTCCTCCTTTTTGGCAGAGTTTTCTGAACTTCTGTTTTGTCTCACAAGACCCAGGGCTTGTCTTCTTTTCTTCAGCTGTGACTGTGAGAAGGGACAGTGAAAGGATAGACCTCTAGATGTCAGCAGATTCCAAGCCCTGAAAGTTACATAAACTGTTTTCTCCCACAGACAGATTTTCTCAATCCTCCTCAGCCAAACGCCAGCCTTCTTTCTTGGTCTCCTTCCTGTGCCTCTTTTCTTGGCTCTGTTCCTCTTCTTCCCACCACATGGCGGGCCGGCTGCCCGTTGGAAATGTGAGAGCCAAGTGAGCCCCCACCCCGCACCCCGGCTCCTCTCTGGAGGGGCTCCCAGGCTGGCCCATCTTTGGCGGGGCTGAGCGCTGGGCCGGCCTCCGCGGGGAGGCACAGCGGTGCCCTTGTCCTCGGGATGAGGGAGCCGGCGGCAGGTCATGTATTCAGCTAGCCTGTGCCTGAATCACACCCAGGGCCGGCTTCCACCTCCCACTGCAGTCAGTGCTCTGTGTCTTCCAGGCGCTGACACCCGCACTGCCAGGAGGCCAGATGCTGGGCCTGTCTTGGCAGACACGCTGCGGAAATTCTTATTCGATCTGGATGTGGATGACGGCCTGGCTGCCATTGGCTACTCCAAGGCCGACATACCCGCTCTGGTGAAAGGAACGCTGCCCCAGGTAAGAGACGCAGCCATCCTCACTCCAGTCTGAGAAGCACCAGGCTTCAGGAGAGACAGGGTCCATCTGGGGCATCTTAGAGGGGGAGATGGAAACCCAGGTCTACCCACACCAGGCAACAGCTCTCCGTTACCCCATTGAAAGTGGTCAAGGCTCCCTCACCCTTGTCTTCTTCCATTAAACTGTGGCTTGTGTGAAGCTTTGATGATGTAACGAAGGGATCCTTTATAAAAATTTAAGACAAAAAAAACCAAGCTTATTTTGAGTATAGCAGAATTTCCCTTTTCTCCATTTCTGCTCTTTCAAGAGTCCCCTATGAAACTATGTGAAGTTAAAAGGACCACTTTGCCAGTATAAAGAGTTACAAATTCTACTACTTTGTGAAGAACAGACATGGCCTTTAAATGAAGATGATTATGAAATCACTTTTTAACTTATTTTAGATCTTGTAGATGCTATACATATACATATGTATACATATCTGTGTCACTTTGGGTCTTATTTTTATGTTCCTGAAGAATTTAAACCAAGCAGCTGTCCTTTATGTGGTAGAACCATAACAGATGTAAAGTTTCCCCTCTCAAGGCTCTTATGAAGACAGTTTATCCCCCTTTGGATGTTTCCATTTAAGATCAGATACCCAGGTGGTATAGCACCAGAATCTTATAGCCCAAGACCCTGTTTGTTGTAATTCACCATAAAATAGAGAGCTCAGAGCCATGAGATGCCATCATGCTTACCAGGTCCAGAGCACTAAGTCCTCCTATCCAAGATGGGGAAGGCAAGCATCACTTAAACACTGTAAGGATACGTAGAAAAGATAAAAACTCTAATTCAAAAAGATAAATACACCCCAATGTTCATAGCAGCACTATTCACAATAGCAAGACACAGAAAAAACCCAAGTGCCCATCAACAGATGTATTGGTTTAAGAAGATGTGGTACATATATACAATGGAATATTACTCAGTTGTAAAAGAATGAAATATTATCATTTGCAGCAACATGGATGGACCTAGAGAATATCATACTAAGTGAAGTAAGTCAGACAGAGAAAGACAAATATATGATATCATTTATATATGGAATCTTAAAAAAAAATACAAATGAATCTAAATACAAAACAGAAATAGACTCACAGACATAGAAAACAAAGTTATCATTACCTAAGGGGAAAGGGAAAGAGAGAGGGATAAATTAGACGTGAGGGGTTAACAGATACAAACTACTATATATAAAATAGATAAGCAATAAGGCTTTATTGTATAGAATAGGAAACTATATTCATTATCTTATAATAATCTACAATGGAAAATTATCTGTGTGTATATATGTGCATGCATGCTAAGTTGCTTCAGTCATGTCTGACTCTTGGTGACACTATGGACTGTAGCCCACCAGGCTCCTCTGTCCATGGAATTCTCCAGGCAAGAATACTGGAGTGGGTTGCCATGCTCTCTTCCAGGGGATCTTTCCAACCCAGGGATTAAATCCATGTCTCCTGCATTGGCAGGCAGATTCTTTACCTCTGAGCCACCTGGGAAGCCCCATATGTGTACATATATATATATTCAGTTATATATATATTCAGTTATATATATATATGTGTGTGTGTGTGTGTGTGTGTGTGTGCGCACACACTTTGCTATACACCTGAGACTAACACAGTATTATAAATCAAATATACTCCTATTTAAAAAAACACTGTGAGGATAAGGCAGTTCTCCCCAAAGTCATGACATTTGTGTATCTATCCCTGACATTGTTGTTTAGTCACTAAGTCATGTCCAACTCCTGCGACCCCATGGACTGTATAGCCTTCCAGGCTCCTCTGTCCATAGGATTTTCCAGGCAAGAATACTGGAGTGGGTTGCCGTTTCCTTCTCCATCCCTGACATTGGAACAGAGTGCACAGCTAGACTCTCCACTCACACAGCATCCTGCTGACCACAGTGCCAATGCTTTTCCCTCAGCCCATTTCAGTTAAGCAAAGGCCTCAGACTGGCTTCTTCTCCACTTAGCAAGTACTGGGAATGTCGAAGACCTCCCATAATATCATAATATCATATTTGTATGGATTGGTTTCACAGACTTACCTGTCCATAGGAGCCAGGTAAATAATAGCAATGAACAAAGTAATTTTTGTTCACTAGGGAATGGTGGGGACTTTAGTGAACTGGAAAGCACACAGTCCATCTCATTGGGTGAGCAGCTTTTCAGCTACAATTTATTACCACCAAACATAAATTCAGGTCCCAGTGATGGTAGAAATTGCAATTTTTAAGAGAAGTCAGCAGTTGGGATGTTTGTGTTGAATTCCCTGATTTCCCAACGTACAAACAAAACATGGCCCATGGGCACCAGTTTTCCTGATTTAGGGTCAGGCCCAGAGTAGGGTCAGTTGCATCCAAAAATGTAAATGAATGAGAAAAAGAAGAATCTCTAAGAGACCCTAGTTCTAACCCATTGTCCTAACCTGTAAGTCCAAGGGACTAAATTTAAAAAAAAAATCACAATTATTTTTATCCAAACCTACTAAAGTTCCATGAAGTTAGGACCCTGTTTTGTTCATTCATCTTCTACAGCACCTGACATGAGCTCATAAACATCTTAAAGGGGCAGCCCTCTCCTCCTAAATCTTTTGTCCATATGAGCTTAATGACTGAATGGTGGACACTTTTTGAGCAATGTCCTTAGACTTAATAGGACTCAGCCAATGACAAAGATCCATGGAAGCCCATTCAGTGACATCAGAGATCAAGTGGTCACTATGATTTTGATGACTGGCTCTTACAGTTCTTATAGCATGGTCACAACAACAGCATCTACTTTTCAGGGGGTCCTCTGAAAAGCTGTGTTTATTTATCCCAGGAAAATGTTCAGGAATATGTGTTGTTCATTAGCCTCCAAGCATAGTATCCATCATTTTCAGATGAAACTGGATGATGTGCTATGCTGTGCTTAGTCACTCAGCCATGTCCGACTCTTTGCAACCCCATGGACTGTATCCTGCCAGGCTCCTCTGTCCATGGGGATTCTCCAGGCAAGAATACTGAAGTGGGTACCCCATCCCTTCTCCAGGGGATCTCCCCTACCCAGGAATAGAACCAGGATCTCTTACATTGCAGGCGGATTCTTTACCAGCTGAGCTACCAGGGAAGCCTGAAACTGGGTGATAATCTCAGCCATTTAATTGCTAGTGACAGTGCATCTTCTAGCCATCAGCACACACCAACAGGTGTGGACAGTTTTAATTCTACTCTATCCAGGCTTCTATTTGCAAAAGCTGTTCCAAATGGCAACAGGTCCAGACTAACACTCAAGACCATCCACTAAAATAGCAAGTTAATTCAGTATCATTCTGAATGCCTCAGTGCACATGCCATAACGGGAAATGACAGGTAGCAGACTAATTTCTTAGTTTCACAAAGGATGCAAGATAAATTGAATCTTTTGAATACAAGTCATGTCTGTAAAGTAGGAAGCCAGGATTTCCTTCAGCTGTGTTCATAAAGCAGCTCCCCCAACCGGATGCTGCCTTTTTTCCCTTTGATCATGTTTTCACGATTAGGAGAAACACAGTTCATTTGAATTCACTGGCACTAGTTCAATTTTGAAGTCAACATGAGAGATTTATATGTGTATATAAGGGGAAGGGGAAACAGTCATAGGACTTTAAAAGGAATCTTAAGAATAAGCTTGTCTATTTTGCAGTTGAATTACTATTGGATTTTTGTTTAGTTTTTGGATTTTGCAGGGGAGGTTTGCAGTGAACATTTTGCAGGAATGCTATGGCAGTTTCAGAATGGTACACAGGCAACAGACTCATCTTCACTTGTTGGTATTTACAGGACTTAAGGTGGTGAGAGGGATACACTGCTTGCTGCAGAAAACATCACCAGAAAGGATGTTTTGTGTAGTCGACATTTGATAAAGCTTCTTTTATGTTTAGCAAAGGGGGATCGGTTTTCGCTGGAAGGAACAACCAGGCCAGTCATTCCTGACCAATACCACAGCCCCTACTGGTGGCAGCACACAGGAGCCCGGAGGACAGAGGTGTCCAATCGCCATAGCCTGGCTACTTGGGGGCAGGCAAGAATACATGAACCTTCCGGGCTGGATTTCTGAAACCTCTGGAAAGAAACATTTACATCTCAAATCAAAACATCTCATTACTGAGAGGAGCAGTGGAACAAAGTGAGCACTTCCACTCCCTGGCAGACAGGCCCGTTGAAATGTTGCTTTATGAATGAGCTAAAAGTGGTAGTCTGAATTTATATCAGTGTCTGCGTTACTCAGCTGTCCTTCGGTCTTGTGTGTCTATAAATAATAGCATGGTGCGGAGCACGTCTGATTCCTCAGATATTAGCTTTTACAGGGCATGGGTAATCTGTGCAAGGAAATATCACAGACCTTACCCCTGTGGAACCAGTTGTTTGTTGTTGTTGTTTAGCAGTGAAGTCATATCTGTTTTGTGACCCCTTGGACCGTAGCCCACCAGGCTTCTCTGTTCATGGGATTTCTCAGGTAAGAATAGTGGAGTGGGCTGCCATTTCCTTCTCCAGAGGTTCTTCCCAACCCAGGGGTCGAACCTGTGTCTCTTATGTCTCCTGCATTGGCAGGCAGGTTCTTTACCACTGAGCCACCAGGGAAGCCTGGAACCAATTGTTGGGAGTCAGAAATGTGAAAAAGAAGCTGAGCTCAGCTTGGCCTGAGCCGAGAGTCCTGAACTACGTCACCCAAGATGAACAGGTTGTTTTAAGGGCCCTTGAAGCTTCCCCTGTGGCGCAGCCTGCAATGCAGGAGATTCGGGTTTGTCCCTGGGTCAAGAAGATTCCCTGGAGCAGGACATAGCAACCCACTCCAGTATTCTTGCCTGGAGAATTCCATGGATGGAGGAGCCTGGCAGGCCACAATTCTTACAGTTGCAAAGAGTTGGACACGACTGAAGCGACTGAGCCCTCATGCACAAGGGCCCTTGAGCTCATCAGATAAGACTCTGCTGTTACGAACAGAATGTGGCCATCTTCAGCCACAGCAAATACCCAGCTTCAGTCCCAGACCCGCCACAAACAAGCTTGTACATAAGTCACCGTGAACAAGTCTCTGCCTTGCTGTGGATTTTCAAAATCTTTTAGCATCTGTACAACATGTGTTGGGATAAGAGCTTTACCTTGGCTTCACCCATGCTCTTCAGCAATGTCCCTCAGCCTTCTTCTATCTGTCCACCCATTCCTTTTCTTCAATTGTGGTAAAACATACCTGACATAAAATTTACTGTGTTAATCATTTGTAAGTGTACAAGTCAATGTCATTACTTAATACCACGTAAGTGGTAGGCAATCATGAGCACTATCCATTATTTTTTCATTTTCAGAACTTTTTTTTTTTTTGGCTGCGTTGGACTGTCCTTGCTGCGTGCAGGTTTCCTCTAGTTTCAGCAAGCAGGGCTTACTCTCTAACTGCAGGGCACGGGTTTCTCATTGCAGTGGCTTCTCTTGTTGTGGAGCACCAGCTCTAGGGTGCACTGGCTTCAGCAGTTGTAGCACATGGACTCAGTCATTGCATGCTCGTGGGCATGCCGCAGGGCATGTGGGATCTCCCCAAATCAGGGATCAAATTGGTGTCCGCTGCACTGCAAGGCAGATTCTTAACCACCGGACCAACAGGGAAGCACCCAGAATTTTTAAACCAACCCAGAGAGCAGTTCTTCTCTATCGCTGAATGGTAAACAGTAACTCCCCACACTCAAAGGAAGAGTCCCAGCCTGGGGCAGCCTCTATTCTTTCTGTCACTCTGAATTTGCCTATTCTAGGTACTTCATGTAAGTGGAATCATACAATATTTGTCCTCTTGTGTCTGCATAATGTCTTCACTTAGCAGAATGCCTTCAATGTGTCAGAATGCCATTCCTTCTTATGGCTGAGTAACGTTTCATCATGTGGACAGGCCACATTTTGTTTATCTGTTCTACTGCAGTTGGGCACTTGGGCTGTTTTCACTGCTTGGCTACTGTGAATAGTGCAACTATGAACATCAGTGTACAAGTATCTGTTCCAGTCCTGGCTTTCAGTTCACTTGAGTATATATCCAAGGAATAGACTTGTTGGATCACAGGGTAATACTGTGTTTAACTTTTTGACAAGCTGCCACAGTGGCTGCACCATTTACATTCTGCACAAGGGTTCCAGTTTCTCCGCAGCTTCACCATTATTTTCCATTTTTTGGATAGCCATCCCAATAGGTACGAATGGTAACTCACGGTTTTCACTTGTATTTTCCTAATGACATTGAGCATCATTTCATGTGCTTGTTAGCTATATATCTTCTTTGAAGAAACATCTATTCAAGTCCTTTGTCTATTTTTGAGTTGAGTTGTTTGGAGTTTTTAGCTATTTAGTTGTAGCAATTATATATCTATTTTAGATACTAACCCCTTACCAGATATATATGATTTGAAAATATTTTCTCCCATTCTGTAAAGTTGTCTTTTCACTCTTGATATAGTGTCCCTTGAGGCATAAAAGTTTTAAATTTTGATGTAGTCCAGTTTATCTCTTTTTTCTTTTGTTGCCTGTTTGCTGATGTCATGTCCAAGAAATCACTGCCAAACCCAAAGTCATTAACATTTTCCCATTTTCTTCTAAGAGTTTTAAGGTTTTAGCTCTTACATTTAGGTCTTTACATTTAGATGCATTTAAAGTTAATTTTTTTTAATGAGTCCTTCCTTCTTTTCATTCTTACTTTTACCTGACAAATACTTATTGGCATCTTAATATATATCATGAATTGTATGGGATACAGCTAAGAAAATAAAGTCCCTTTCATCCCTCACGGATCTTACATTCTAGTGAGGAAGACAGACAATGGACATCTGATCAAATCTATAAATAAGATATGAATGAAATCACTTCACATAATGATGAGCGGTCAAGAAATCCTGGATGATGAGATAATGATTTCACACGGGACAGTATGGCAGGAACTCCAGTGGAAGTGATCAGAGAAGGCCTCTGTAGGTGGAGGCAGCCAGGTGAAGAGTTGAGAGAAGCATTTCAGGCAGAGGGGAAAGACCCTGAGATAGGGTGAAGATAGCATTTTCACAGGACTGAAAAGGGATGATGGGTCCACGTGAGCTGAGTGAGTGTGAGAAGAATCAGAGCTGGGGTGAGAAGCAGGGCCAGGTCTGGCTTGGGTTAGAGGATATGGTTTTGTTCTTCTAATTGCATTGGAGGGCGTTAAGCAAGGAAATGGTGTGATCAAACTTGTAATGTGGGACCATCGCTCTGGCTGCCGTGGGGGAGAATGACCTGAAGAGGATGAAAGTGGAGCAAAAGTGGAAGCAGCTCTTAGAGGACTTTCAAGTAAGACAGGAGCATGCAGTGAGGAAGACAGGCTGTGATGGATGGAGAGGTGAGAAGTGGTCTGATTGGAGATTTATTTGGCAGGTAGATCTGACAGACATGCTGATGGACTGAACTTGCAGAGAACAGAAAGAGCAATCAAAGATGACTCCTAGGGACTTCACTGGTGGTCCCGTGGCTAAGACTTCATGTTCCCAATGCAGGGGGCCTGGGTTCGATTCTTGGTCAGCGAACTAGATCCCACATGTTGCAACTAAATATCCTTCATGCTGGAGCAGCCAAATAATTTTTTTTTTTTTTTAAGGGATGACTCCTAGGTTTTTGCCTAAGGAAAAGTGGAAGATGGAGTCAGGTCCTGTCTTGTACATGTGAACCTTGAGATGCCAGTGTCCCCTCCCACCATCTTTATTCATCCAGTAACTGTTGAGTACCTGTTTGCTGTGTGGGGTACTGGCCGAAGCCCTGCCCCATGGACCTTCCCCCTTCTACCAGATGTGCCCCCACACCAGTGCTCATCACAGAAAACAGACCCAGAGACCCACAAAAACCCAACCAAACACTGGCACATTTCTTAATTTCATTTATGCCTGGAAATCTGGGGGTTAAGGAGCCACTGATGGGAGTGACTATAGCAGTAGGAGGTGCTGGTGTCTTTGCTGACTTGACTCAGTGATCACTGGAGGAATTAAGGGAAGCATGGAATTTGTTTGGGGAGTTAGAGATAAAAATCTTAGTTAATATTTTTCTTTTTAAGTCACTTGTTGCCTGCAGCCTGAAAGTTAATGTCCTGGTGAAAGTCCTTCCTAATATACCTTAAGTCCAAGTTGCAAAGTCTTTGAAGCCAAGGATGACCCTGTTCTATTTTCCTTGGCAGCACATGCAGGGCTTGGGGCCATGCCCTCCCCACAGGGAGAGCCTGGCAGGGGTGCCTGATCCACATAGCTTGGTCACTGTAGGTGGTGTTTTTCCCGAAGCTGGTGAGCTTCTGTACATTTGGGCAGAAAGCCCTCAGGCGACAGTAATGACTTTTGAAAGCTTTGTGGAAAGAGGTATCACTTGATAAATTCTGAGTTGGGAATCAGCAAGTACGAAGCCAACAAGAAATATGACTTTTAAAACTATGACTACTATCAAATCACTGTTTCTCATGACTGAGTTAATTTACATACTGAGTAGCTTTTTACAAACTGTCTTTGCAAAGCCCTGGGTAACTATTTTTGCTTACTGTTTCAGGAGAGAGTCACCAAGCTTGCACCACGCCCTCAGTCAGAAGAGGATCTATCTGCTCTGTTTGAAGCATCAATGAAACTGTATTAATTTTCATTTTCACTGAAAGAACTACCCTTGGCCATCATAGTTCTGATAACAGAAGTTGACCTAGCAAGAATTTTGTCTTTTCACCTCCACATGTAACTCCCTCGTTACCAGCTTGAATGTGATATAAATTTATCCTGTAGAAGATTCCCTGATACTCCAAGTCCAGCTACTTCCATAGGACAGGCTGGACAAATGCCCACCATGCTGGACCCTCAGACAGACTTCAGGGGTCCATGTTCCTACCCAAACCCTGCAGACTGCCCCTGCTCCATGGATCAAAAGGGCAAATACTCAGTATCTACCAGAAATGTTAATGCATGTACTCTTTGCCCAGTAATCAACCCCACATCTAGAAATTTATTCTATAAAATTCTAGCACAAGTGTGTAAAGAAATATGGCAAAAGTGCTTCTGGCAGCATTTTCTAATAATAAAAAATTGGAAAGAACTTAAGTATTCATTAATGGTATATAGATAAATAAGTCACGTGTGCTCAGTTCTTCCGTCTTGTCCAACTCTTTGCGACCCCATAGACTGTAGCCCACCCCTCTGTCCATGGGGTTTCCCGGGCAAGAATACTGGAGCTGGTTGCCATTTCCTCCTCCAGGAAGTCTTACCAACCCCAGGGATCAAACCTGAATCTCTTTGCATCTCCTGCATTGGCAGGCAGGTTCTTTGCCACTAGCCACCTGGGAAGCTCTAGGTTTGAGTGTACCTGGAGATTTATCTGTATTTCAAATTGGATTAAAGTTTTAATCAAGTAAAGTACCTAATTACATCTGATTTAAAAAAAAAAAACAGAGAAGGGCATTACTGTGCCATTTAACCTGCCTGGGGCAGGTTTATCTCTTTAAACATTTTTGTTTACTTGGGATTTTAAAAATAACATTTAAATATTGTTTATTGGGCAGGCAGTCTTCTCTAATTACACACATAAAACATGTTCAGTACCAAAACCTGGTCATACAAAGAAACACTGAAGAAAATATTTGTTCACAATGCGCCATCCAGAAGATAATCACCACTAAAAAATAACAAAATTTTTAAATATATATTCTCCCCATAATTTTGAGCACATATATATAGTTATAGATAATTATATGTATACATATGTTTTTTTTTTTTAACTTAGAATCACTGAGGTGTAGTTTTAGTTCCTATAGAATGAGTGTTCAAATTCTTTATGCCAAGTGCCCCAAAGGCAAGCACAAGACAGTTCCAATAGAATTTCAGCTCTATCTTGCAGACTATATCTAGCTAAAATTCCCTCCAGCTTTTTAGGGGAATCATGGATTCTGAGAGCAGAAGCTTTGTGAATAAGGTAGAGAACAGTGAAACTCTCTGTCAATCTGAGATCTTTTGCTGCTGCTACTGCTGCTGCTAAGTCGCTTCAGTTGTGTCTGACTCTGTGCGACCCCATAGATGGCAGCCCACCAGGCTCCCTCATCCCTGGGATTCTCCAGGCAAGAATACTGGAGTGGGTTGCCATTTCCTTCTCCAATGCATGAAAGTGAAAGTGAAGTTGCTCAGTTCTGTCTGACTCTTCGACACCCCGTGGACTGCAACCTACCAGGCTCTTCAGTTCAAGGGATCCAGGCAAGAGTACTGGAGTGAGATCCTTTAGGAAACTTTAATAAACAAATAAATGTTTAGTAAATATTTCAAAATACATTTGTCAGGGAGGAAGGTGGGAGGGTGGTTCAAAAAGGAGGGGACATAGGTGGGCTGATTCAGGTTGATATTTGGCAGAAACCAACACAATTCTGTAAAGCAATTATCCTTCAGTTTAAAAAATAAATTTAAAATTAAAAAAAGAAAACAAACTACATTTGGCATAGCAAAAATATATATGGCCCCCACCAAGAAAGTCCAGGTAAATTTGGTACCTCTTGTAATGTATTTTGTAAGATGATTTGGCGTCATTAGAACCCGCATAAGACCAGGGCTCCAGTGCCCTGGATTCCATTTCCAGCCCCTTGCTCTGTCTGAGTCTTCAACCAAGTCCTCTGCAAGCTTGAAAATACCCTGACTGGATTTCAGGTTCTACCCTGTCCTTAATGTGAGATTTTGAATTTGGGAACTTTAAAATCATTTGAGATATGAAAATGCATTCGTTATCTCTCTGAAATGTTCCATGCCATTTCCACCAGTAAACAGATGTCTCACTGTGACTCACCAGGAGGGGTGCTTGGTATTCATGCTGAGATGACTCTTAGAGGAAGGATTTAAAGGTCAAGTATGAAGAAACAGATTTAGGAAGCCTCGTGTTTTTAATCCTAATACCCATCATTTCAGTCCTCACAATTTGAGAATACAGAAGAGATGTATTTCTTGACTTAAGAGTATGAGGCAAGAGATCATGTCAATTTCTGTAAACCAAACATTTTTGTGTATCTGAAACAACAATTACATAAATTTTTTCGAGTTGAATCCTACTTATCTATTGATTTCCTTAAATGATCAAACTGTTCTTGGGGGTCACGGCTCCATTTACATGGATTAATTTAGTTGTTAAGGAAAGGAAAATTAAAGGAATTTTGTTCAAGAGTTTATATAATATTACTTTCATAAAATTATCACATATGGTGGCATTTTCACTTGAACTACATCATCCCTAATTTATTTCTCGATACAAAATCACCAATTTGTTTCACGCAGGTCCTGTTTCTTTAATTTTTGCCACAAGCCACAATAAATAGCTGGTGTGTTGCATTTCTGTCCCTTTCCCATGCGCAGAGGAGGGCTGTGCTGGGATTGTCCTTGTGCGTGTGTCTGTGGACACAGCTGGGGGGTGTTTTCCAGTGGTCAATGAGGTAAGTCTTCTCTTGTAAAACAGAGACAAGTACAGTATCAAAATAGAGAGCAAAAACTGCTTTTCCGGCCTTTTAACCCTGAGAAAGATTAATGGTTGTTTAGATTAGAAACTGTACTCTAATGAGGGACTGTGGCCTCTGGGGAGTGGGTATGAGAAAGGGGGTTGTTCACCTCCAGGTCAGCATTGCACAGGCTTCAGGGTCTCTGCTGACCAGCAACCCCTCGAGGAGACAGCTGCCCAGGCTCCTCCATTGAACGCTGGGTCCTCTGGGAGTTGGTGAGGAGGCCAGGCCACAGCCTGCTCCATCACCATCACAATGGCCTGCGGGAGGTGGTCTCCGGGGACAAACCACACTTTGAATGGGCAGAAATTGGTTCTTAAAGCCCTAGGTTGAATTACCGGCAGCTGGGGGTGGGAGGGTCTAGTTTCTCATGCTATTATTCTTTCCAGCCACCCCAACAACTCTCAGAATCAATGCAGACCGCCCCCCCCCACAAATTGCTCTAACTGTAATTTTGTCCCATGTGAAATCCCTCATGAAACAATGTGAGGGACAGCCAACTTTTAAAGTAACTCCATCTCATTCTTTCTGGCTTTAAAATTGACTTTTTTCTTTGAGTGCTTTTAATTGGTTTTCTAACTTATAAAATTGGAAACTGATTAAAATAATCATGAGTGGAAAGAAAAAAAAAACTACCATCATATCATTACCCAAACACAGCTGTGATCATTGACTATATTTTCTTTACATCTTTTTAATTTGATGGTATCATTTCTAGCTCTTTTCCCTTAAGCCATGACATTTTAAGTATTTTCTGTGTTGCCATATAATCTTCAGGATCATTATTTTAGAAGGTATGTAACAGTTTATTGAATAGGAATTTAATCATTTATTCATATTACAGGGCACCAAAAGTGCTTCCAAATTTTTACTCTCACCACTACTATCACAATGAATAAATGAGAAGGTACATGTGGCTTATCTTATATTCTAAATGAACTTCTTAGATGAATGAATCCTCAAGTGGAATTTTTACGTTAAAGTATGGCCATTTTGAACTTCCCTGGTGGCTCAGTGGTAAAGAACCTGCCTGCCAATGCAGGACATGCAGGAGATGCAGGTTCCATCCCTGGGTCAGGAAGATCCCCTGGAGGAGGAAGTGTCAACCCACTCCAGTATCCTTGCATGGGAAACCCATGGACAGAGGAGCCTGGCGGGTTACAGTCCATGAGATCGAAAAGAGTTGGACATGACTGAGCAACGAAAGAAACTTCACTTTACAGGGTTGTTACAAATGTCTGCAGGAAGTGCCTGACCTACAGTCTATACTCAGCACTTTGTGCGTTCTCTTCCCTTCCCGAACACCCCTACATGATGTCAGCTGAGTACCAAGGGCCTCTAAACTTCCCCCAGGACAAGAATGACCTGAGGCGCTAATTTAGAAAGATAGAGATCACCAGGCCTTTTCTCCATCCCCCAGAAATTCAGATCTTGTCAGCCTGGGTTTGAACTCAGGGTTCCAACTGTGGTTGGGTAAGTTTCCGCTTAGGAAAATAAGGCTGCTCCTAGACCTGTTTGGCAGCTTCTCTGCATAGGTGGTGAGAAAAACAAAGCAGCGGTCTCAGCCTTCAGCGTGCACAGAAACTTCTGGAGAGTTTGGAAAAACATGGGTTTCTGGGTCCCGGCCCCAGGGTTTCTAATTCAATAGGTGCATTTTGAACTAATTCCCAGGTGATGCTGCTAGTCTGAGACCACATGTTAAGAACCACTGAACCCATGGATTGCAATTTTCTCATATTTCAAATTCAGGAGATTCCAGCTGGAATTAGTCCTACCCAGCGCAGAGCAGGACCATAAGTCCATGATGAGGGTCAAAACAGGACCAGGACACTAACCACAGGACATCCTCTCCCGCAGAGTGGGAGACCCCAGCCCCAGGCACCATCCTGCCTCTTCCCCACTGTGCCCGCCTCACCATGAAGCCCCTGCCTCCCTCGTTTCCACCTGCTTTTCAGGCTGAAGCCTTTTCAGGGTGTGGAGAGGTTCTTCCATCAAGGCCCAGACAGAAAGACACTCACTAGTGACCGCAGCATTGAGGAAGACCACAGTATTAGCTACAATCAGGATGTGACTATTAAAAACTGCAGTAAGTACCAGGGCAATGAGTTTCATTTCGGTAAAATCG